ATAACACGTTTTATCTCCAGCATCTCCATACACCCTCAGTCTATTTATCACTCAGGGACAAGACTTTCAAGACCATCCCCTGTTCACCTCTGTCTGGATCCTCCTTGGTATCTGATGGTGTCAGATGGCATGTGACTGACAACTTCTCTGCTCATCTCTGAAATGGGAGCAAATCTTGGTGTTTATCTCCATAACAGACAAGCTGAACACAGTGTGAGGGCAAAACAGTAGCCAAAACGGTCAAGCCTTCCAATTGTAAAAAAAAAAAAAAAAGAAAAACCAAACCACAAGGTGTTGCTTGCTGCTGAAGGGCATTTGCTACAGGCACCATTTACACCAGTGAAACAATGCCAGGAAAAAAAACGGGTGTAAGCGTTCCCTCCAGGGAAAGCTGAAGGGATATCAGTGGGAGAAGGAGAGAAGACTGACTTTGCAACCACCTTCAAGGTGTCAGCCGTGTTCCCACAGGGACAGCCGAGGGGTCTCACTGGGTGCTGACCCACGCTGTTGGGACATCCCTGCTGGGACCTTCCTATGGGACAGGCACCGTGTGAGCTCCACCGGGGCAGTCCCTCGGGGCCAGCAACGTGAGGGAGGCTTCCCAGGGAAGCAGGAAGAGGGAAGGTGCCTCCTCGGCATGTTTCCCTGGGGAGATTCAGAATAAAAATACCAAATCTCCACACCTGCTGCCCACGGCACCTATGACGTGTGTCCCAAAAGCTACGCCAGTTCACCCAGTCACCCGGTCCTCTCTCGTGCAGAAGTAGGGACATCATCAGAGCTGTCCTCTGGATCGCACTCCCTGCCGAGGGGCTGTCAAGAAGATTCCCAGTTTAAAAACAGTCTTTTTGTTCCCCTCTGGAGACACTGTGAGAAGACGCCTATATTTAAAATGCTTTTTTTCTGGACTTATTTCAAAGTCAGGGGACTTTTCTGCACCCTGAAGAGAAACAGCTGTTCGTGTCAAAGTTCATTTGCCAATTATTGCTGCAGCCAAACCAAAACCTTTACGTGGATCCAATTCCCCTGCAGAGAGGAGCCCCCTGCAGAGCCCGAGTCTCCCCGTTTCTGTGCCAAGAGCACCACCCGGTGGCCTCCCCGGCCACATCTCTCTCTCTCTGTCAGAAACCGTAATAAAGCTAAAACATTTGAAGGGGAAGGAAAATCAGAAGCATAGGGTTGTGTAAAGAGCTCTATGGGTAAGATGGGAAAAATCTCTGTGTGTTTATTCTACGAAACCCAGCCAGTAAATGAGCAATGATCAAAGTCCTGTATTACGGACATCTTCGTGGAAGAGGGAAGAGTCACAGGGTGAGTCTTGCTGGGACGGCTGAACGTGGAGAACTGCAGAAGCTGTGAGAGAGCAAGCTCTGGTCCCACTCATGTCAGGCACTCACCTCTTCCTCCTCCGGCACCTCACCTCCCAGGAGAGCAGCTCTGCTGTTCGTGGGGGGCAAGTACTGAGATGGGGAGTCTAAACAATCTTAGATTGACGGTGCAAGGCCTGCGCAAAAACAAGGGAAGGCGTAAGGGACTGTTCGAAAAAGACATACCAGGTGCTGATAACATTACTAGGCGACTATCTCCTAGCCCAAAGAGAAGTTTCTTATGGTCCTTGAAGTTGTATGTTCCAGCAACAAATCATCCTAGATTCTAGCACAAACTGGCCTGGAGGTTTGGCCAGGGCCCAGGGAAACAACTGAGGCTGCGCAGAACAACGAGGTGAAAAGTTCATCAGCGAGGAAGAGGAAATACTTCATCTATGCGACCCCCGCCTGTAAATCTGCAACCACCGAACAAGGCCAAAGGAGCTCAATACGCAGGCGCAAGGGGAGGAGACCTGATTACCATGAGAAGCGAGGGGAGGGGGGGTAGACTATGTATATGTATAGGCGTTCTATGAATATGCACTATTTTGTAATATATAAGCCGGACAGGAGCTGCAAACGATGCACATACTTGTGGAGGAGCGATCCCCCATGCGCCCAGCGCTGAATAAACATACCCACTTTATAACCCCAAAAGTTATAGAGTGATTTCTCCGCAAAACAAGTACCACCATCCCAGAGGTGTTGCACCGCACAGCAGCGTGCCCCTGCTCCATTGCACAGCTCCCTGGGCCACCAGCGAGCCGAGGCAGGCCCAGTACCACTGGCCTGGGCAGCGATGGGCACTCATTTCCTCTTTTCTACCCACCCTTTACTATCAGTTCACTTCTACACAGGGTGTTTCACAGGCTTACTGCATGTTTCTTGGAAGCTTTGAAGATCTTGGGACCTAAAACTGAGCATTTAAGATGTGCTCATGGGTAGTTTTTCACATATGGCTCCCAGGCTGTGCCTGGAGTTGGGCACTCACTGGGTTCCCTGGAGCACGCTCACCAGAGGAGACCTTCCTGAGCATGGTGGGGTTTCTGTGTGTATCCTCCAGCTGCCCGAAGCAGAAATACATTAAATAATTCAGTCCTGGCAAGGGAGACAGCCTCTTGGGAAATAATTTATACAAGCGTTTTTGTCTGTTAATTGAAATTGTTGGGAAGAAAACAAAAATTCACACTTCTATTAAGATGAAAAAGGAGAGTCTCCACCTAACAAATAATTTCCAGTAGCTATGCCTCAAGACCTATGTGCAAAAGATAAGAAGACTCCAGTACTTTTAATATACTGCTCTAAGGAGTTTTTATAAGAGCTGAATGGATGCAAGGGAAAAATGAAAGAGGTGCAAGAAAGCCACGCTCTGCCTGGCACAGGAGACCTTATCAAGCAGGCAAGAGAACTCACCAGTTACCTGAAGTACTAATAAAAAGACCTCAAAACAGTATGAGCTTGAGGGAAGAAAGGGTCAGGCAGGTCTAATTTGAGAGTGAGCAGCCTACACCAAACACCCGCAAGCTCAGCCTGGCAGCGTGGCACTGGCTGATGTGCAAGCTTGGGTCACCCGACACACCTTTAGCGTGCTAGGTTGTGGCAACCGTGGCAAAAGCATTCAGCCAACTTATGCAGTTCTTCACCTCTTTTTTCTCCTCTCATTTCTCTTTCCTTTCCTGTCCTTTCCATTTTCATTTTCCTGGTGAGTTGAGAAGGAAAGGTTTCTATCATCTGTAACCAGACCAGCTGGCAGGTCATGCAGCCCTAGGTGTGACAAATACTACCAATGTGTGATAAATATATTCAGCATATACTTCTCATGTTTATTTTCTGGATGTCACTTTGCCTAAAAACAGCCACATCATGAGAGGCGGTTTTTTTGCTAAAATACCAAAAGTGCTTTAGTAAAGATAGAATTACCTAAAAGGCTCTTCACTTCAAGAGACACTTCAAGACACTGCAGCACTGTAAACCTTTATCATTTTAGTTAATAGAAATATTCTCTCAAGTGTTTTGTACTGCGAGCAGTATCATTTCTGGGACAAGTCAGCATCACTGGAGAAAATAAATACAAATGCATACAATCATTAGAGTCAACACACGCATGCACATGTTGTGAAACAAAATGTAGTGTCAGGCTTTAGATTCTTAAAATAGCAAGGCCCAATTTTACAGGAAGACACTGAAAAGACGAGCCCACACTAATTTAAAACAGGTAATATTACCTGAGTACACGTTTTTTCCAGGTGTTAGCAGCCATTTGATGAATATCATCATAGATATTTAATCAGAATACAAAAAAAAAATTAAAAAAAAAAATAGGAAGAACCCAAAATTATGTCTCACGCTTAAAGATCTTTGAGAATTTATTCAGATTTTTGTTTTAAGCCACCATTCGTTTGTTCATAAGCAATGGGTGATCACAAAAGTGTTTGCTTTTAAACCATAGTAACATTATTGGATTTTACTTTCACATAAATGTTCTTGATGCCACAATATGTAAAGCCACATTTTCAACAGGTTAATACAGTTTCCTAAGCTGTATCCTTTCCTAAACATACGTTTTCATTTCATGCTGTAACACTTGTCAGCTTGAATCTACAGATACATCTATCTTTCAAAGCCAAATTTGCAGATTCTCACAAAGGATGCAGGTGAGAAGATGGTTTCTCTGCAGCAACTGCAAAAATTTTCCTTGCCACTCACATTCACTGTGTATTTCTGCAAGGACTGTTTTCAGTAGAGAAATTTTGAAGAAAGGCATTGGATTGGTTTTGTTTGTAAGCTGCTGTTTACACCCAGCTTGTACCTCCCCTAGCATTAGAAGAGTCCATCCTGGAGGGTCTCTGGATGCTGTCCCACAGAGGGTATTCTAAACAGTCTTTGTAAACCTCCTTTTTCCTAAAGATCATAGCACTGATCTAAATACTTAGAATCTCATATAAAGTGCCACTAAATCTCAGTTCTCAAAAGTATTTCTCCACCAGCAATGTCCCAAATTATAGAGGTTTGTATGTGCTGCAGCCACACATAAAGGAATGAGACTGGTGCAAATGGGGATGGGCAGGACCCAACCTGGAAAGTGCTTGTATGTTACACATAGCACTGAAATGAGGTGTAGACAGTGAAATAAAATGAAACATGCAATTGAGCTTAGATAGCGATCCCACTGTGGGGGGATCAGCTCAAGCCATTGTTAATAACTGAGAAAATGACAGTAAGTCTACTGGAGACCAGGCCCGGATGCGTATGTCAAAAATATCTCCCAAGCATTTTCTAATTGAAAGCATGAGCCAGCCCCGTCACATCTCTAGAGAACTAACTGTGGAGGGAACAACCTTCAGGTGCAGAAGAAGGGAGTAACCTGTTCTCCAAACCCATTCTGGCCATGAGCAGAAGCAATGAGTTTAGGTTTGGCAAGAGAGGAATTAGGAAACACTTTCTGACACTAAGAAGAGCAAAATACTATTACAGATTGACTGAAAAACATATGGGATCATCTTCTTCAAGCTTGGGATCTTTTTCTTCAAGCTTCTAAAGAACAAGCTAACCAGTTCCCATCAGGAATGCCCACAGGCATCTTACCTTGGAAGTAAATGGTGACCTTCTGAAATGCCTTCTAGTCCCCTGAGAGTCATAGAAAATGTCTCAGGGAAATCACAGCAGATAAGCAACTCTTAGCTACCCCTTTGAGCCTGGGGTTTTCCCTTGGCCACACTTGTCAGCTCAGGTCTCCCATTTGTGACCTTTTTCCCCCTCTCCAGACCTCCACGGCAGACAGCCTGGCCCTGTGGCACAGGGGCTCACAGTGCTGCCTTGTGCAGGCGTGCAGTGTACAGCCCAGGCTGCGGGAAGGGCAAAGGAGGGACCTGAGCACACGAGTCCCATGAGCATCGCACGAAGTCTGGTGGATGTGTTCCAGACTTTATAAAGTCTTCTGATATGAGCTCACCACTGTACCTGGCTGGCTAGGAAAAGCGAGTAATTTTATCTGTTTGTTGTATCCATCGTACATATAATGCTTATAATATGCATTATTAAATGTAGTTATAATTAAAAATTGCCACTTATCATTCAATCTCCAGCTGCCCTTAAACTCATGTGTCCCAGACAGAAAACATTTAATCTTTTGAGTACCACCTACTGGCACTTTAGGGACGAACTACCATTCAACACCACATTAAGAAATGTTTATGCTGGCACATATCAGCCTCATGCAGGTTACACGCTGGCCTCCTGCAACTTGTGAAGCTGTCATTCTCTAGCAAAACAAAAGTCCAGAATAGAGAGTCTGCACAGAGCAGCCTCCCTCAGTCCCTTGCTGCTACTACAGCTCCTTGCTATCACTAGGGGTTTTCTCTTCGCATTTCTGTTGCTGAAATAAACCCAGTTGCAAAAACTGACTTTTTAACTCCAGGTTAATTTAATCCTCTTTGAAGATACTTTGCAACAATGACAGAATAGCTTCTGTCTCCCTGGCTGCTTTTCAAACCACCACCAACAGCTGTCCTTGATGTTCCTTGACAGAGGATTTCCTCTTGCACTCTGTTTCTCTCCACTGTAGAATTCCCCTCCTCAGGCTAACCTTTTTAAAACCAAACTTACTTGGGAGAACCCACCCAATTAGACGTTTAAGTCAATTAGGCTGATTGACAGCAGAATTATGTCTAGCATATTCTTAATTGTGAATGCAAACACTCAGTTGGAATAAATACCTACCTCGTGAGGACTTGCTGAGGCTTAATTAGTTAATGTTTGAGAAGAGCTTTGAACACATGAAGCACTGTACAAGCATTAAATGCTATTCTCACCGTTCCTAGTAGCAGAGGCTTCAAAGTTGGACATGGCAAAGTTGAAGTGGAAGGATTTCAAGGACAGAAGGTGACTCTGACCCAGGGTCACTGGGGACCACTGCTGCGGGAGTGGGAGGACAGGCTGACACCAGGCAAGGCTTTGCTCTAACTAAACGTTGCTGCTGTTCTGTGCTCATGAAGCCTCTCTTGTTCCACAGCAGGATGGCAGCAGCCCCTGACCTCCAGGTCTCCACACCAGAACCTGCCCGAAATCAGTTCAGCTGGCAGGGCAGGTGTGCATCCTGGATCCCATCTGTCCTGCACCCTGTGTTCCATCATTCCTCCCGGGGAGGAATTCAGGTTACTGTGCTCTTATAGAAGGCTTATTGCAAAGCCATTCACTGAGGCATCAAGACACTAATGCCTAATAAACAAACAAGAGCTAAAGTTCATTAAGGCCTTTGAGGATCCCCAGAAGCATCACTGTTATTATTACTAGGTAATACAGATGTAGAAAAGCTTCATGTTAACAAAAAACATCCACACACCTCCGCGATGCAAAGGATCTCTTTCCAAAGAACCATATATAAAGTAAGCATCGCCTTGAAAACCTGAATATAGATACTGTTTAGCAAGTTGTATTTTTCACCAAAAAAGACCACACCCGAGAAGCAGTAAAATAACTAAGTATAATAGCTAATATACCAATGAAAAATATGAATGCTTTTTCAGCATTCATAATTTCACTCAAAACTAATTGAATGACAGTAAATCTGGGTTCCTTGCCAGAATGAAGCTGCTGAATTCTTTGTCTATTCTCTTCCCAGAATCCCTCATACAGGATCTGTCCAGGAGGATACTCTGGATAAATGTTGTTTAACTGTTGGTAAAATCCATAGCAGTCCCATCACTGATTCATTAAAATAATGATCTGATAGTGTTATTTTTGATAGTACATTTTGAATAACATATTTCTTTTTCTGCTACATGGAAATGTAGTAACACTAGCAGATAGCTCCAAGAACTAACACTACAGAAGAGCCAGCACAGAATATAACATTTAGATTGTTAAAACACGTGCATGGAAGCTGCTAAGTGGAAAAGCCTCAAGCAGTAGGTTTGTGCAACTAAAGGGCAAGAGTCTCCATCGTGTACACCATCTCAAAACCATTGAAACACACAGAAACATCAGCAGATCTTTTAATTTCAAAACATACATTTTGGAAACTGCTCATGAAGGAATCTCTGCTGATGGCAAGTACATAGGAGCCAAGATTAATGTCATAAAAATCTGTTTCAATTTTCCTTAAAAATTGGATTAATAACCAGGAGAAAATATTTTAAATGGAGGATGGAATTTTCAAATCTAATTACTGCAAAAGCATAAATCACAGAATTGTCTATGTTGGAAAAGACCTTGAAGATCATCCAGTCCAACCATCCACCCAACATTAACAGTTCCCAACTACATGATACCACTCAGAGCTAAGTCGACCCCACTTACCATTATTTCACAGAAAGTGACAATATAAAACCTTTCTTGGTGGTTTTTAAGATACCACTCTCAGAACTTAAAATAAATAAAAGAAATATTTCACCATAAAAGAAATACAGGATCATTTTCAGTGACCATCACATTCAGTGGTCTGTTTTGGCAATTAGAGAACCAGTTTATTTTCCCTGGTTAAGAGTCTTATCTGCATATCTTTGATCAAGTTTTCCTCATATTTCCTGCAACTGTTCCCCAGGTGAACTGTGTACCTAAACACACGTTTTGAAATATTCTAATTTTACAACCTTAACAGTCATTTGCCATTAATTTATGTGAGGCTTCATCTGTCAGGAGGGGTTTATTATTGTCACATTCTAACATCCAGCTCTATTTGTCCCTTGAACATTAACTGCCTATGAAAGCATTTAAAAATAAGCTTCTTTAAAATTGTGTGGCTGAATAATTGCTCAGAGTTATTTACATGGCGGAGAAATTCTGCTTTTATTTCTTTTAAGGGATTCTCTTCCTGTCCCATTGTTAGGGGTTGTCCATTGTCCAGCTAGTGGTTGTTATAGTGTCTGTTTGGAATCAGTTATCCCCAGACACACAGAAAGAACTGGGGAACCATCACAGGAATGTTGGTCACCAGCATGGGAAAAGACAATTTTTATTTCACTCATAAAGCTTTGTAGACTTGTCCACAGCACTGATTGACTTAAGAAAATAAAGCGTTTTGAAAAAAGTTACATTTTTTTCTTCAGCTTTTTCTCCTCTTGTTTTTCCCCACTTTTTTTTTTTTTCATAATCTTTTTTCTTTCAAATGGTGAGGGGCCACTTTACATTCTCTCTCTCTTTAAGGCACATAGAAATAATACCTTACCAGGACATGTGCTGGCCTTTAGCCAAACAGCCAACATGCTCGCAATTTTAAGGACACAACATAACACTTCCATTCAAAATACTGGTCAGCAATACACCTTTCAACTCATCAGTCATTCTGTGAATATTTTTTTGGCCAGTATGTTATCAGACATGCTGAAATGAATAAAATGTATTTGAACTATTTATTTCCATCCAACAATAGGCACACAGGTTTCTTCTGGGCCTGTTGAATATTAACTTCATATGTTGAAGCATTACAATGTCATTAAAACTGTCAACATTGCAAGTTGGGTAGTTGCAAATGCTTAGGATCACAAAATTGTGCTCTTTTTTAAAATCCAGCAATAAGGTTTGCTTGACAACTGACCATGGTAGTTAATGACCATAGGCTTCCGTTTTTTAGAAAAACAGCCTTCACTGCTGAAATCCTTGACATTAAACATTATCTAAAATGTTTTATGCTGAAATTCTTCATGAGAAATGCCTTCTTACAAGACTGTGGTTGTCAATGACACCTTGAAGGCTTTACCAACTAACACAGCAACAACGATGAAGGAATAACCTTTTGTTTATGATGCACCACATTTTTCCAGTGATTAGAAGGAACACCCCTTATTCAGTCCTGCATCCCTTATCCAATAACACAATCTCAAACACTTTCGGAAGTTGACTGTTGTAGCACCTGCTGCTCCCTAGCAAGGTACTACATGGCTCAGTGTTCTCACAAGGTCAAATATTCTTATTGCTTGAATTGCTGAAACACTTACTATGGGAATAATCCGGAATTCCTCTAAATTTTTAGATAGTCCCAGCAATTTGTTTCAGTTTCTGAATTCAGAAAACAAAATACATTTCCAGTGACAGTTTATCAGAGGTTATCAGAGTTACTTTTTCTGGTTTTCCAATTGCTATGACTATCAAAACAGCTCAAATTTCAAAAGATAAAATTCTGCAAGAATACACCATCTGTTTATAACTCAAGGCAACAGAATGAATCAGTAAATTGGATGATATAAGGGGTCATCTCTTCTTTCCAAAGAAATAGCATGGCAGTGACAACTTTAATGGCCCATTTTTTTAAAAAAAATATTGCTGCACTCTTGACCTCAACTTCTACTGACACAGGAAACACATTTGAATCCCACTCCTAACAGTAAATCATTAAATCAGATTTAATTGTGATTATCATAAAAGTCATTCATTCCTAACAGTCTATACTTATTCTAAGAGCAGTGAGGAGGCTGTGGTCTCTAAGTACCAATATGTAATAAATGAGAGCCTGTACTGATTCTCACTGGCAGCCACTTTATCACATATGCTCACACCCAGAAAATCTATCTCCTTCAAAAACACCATCAATATTAGATGCATTTTTATTTCCATTGCTTCAGCTGATACTGCAGGCCTGCAGGAAAATACCATTTTTAATAACAGAATTGAAATATACACAAGCTACTAAGAAAATGTGTCCTTTGAAAAAGCCACTTTTGCAACCAACTCAACTTCAACTAGAAGGCCTGTTTCAACAAACAAAGCAAATCTTTTTCTAAACAAACTTGAATTTTACAGAGTATGAATTAATGATGGGAGAATTCACTTCTGTGTGCATTAAGCTGCCATGAAGCTAGTTCTGCTTGTCGTGATCACTCTAACATCATAGTAGACATGATTAATGCAGTACAGGGACAAAAATGGTGTTTGAATCTCACCTCCAGTTTTGCAAAGAATTGTGTTGGGTTTGATGGGATTACGTATAGCAGCAAAGAAAAACACACCTGTAAGCAAAGGACTGCAGCATTACAATGGGTCCTTCTAAGTGTAAATGAAGGTGCACACAATACTTAATGAAATTGCAAACCTTTTAAAACAAGCATTTCCCAAATAGAGAAACTGTCAGAAGAAAAAAAAATAAATCTCAAAATACTTGGCCACACAATTGCTTCCCAATTTATTGGAAAGAATACTGACATATAACATCCACGATAGAGTTAACCTTTATTGCAGGGGGAGGCGGGTGGGGAGTAACAACCATTTTTCTGCTGAAGTCTAGAATGTATTTTAATTTAGAAAATTACACCTTCAGCCTAGTTGCAAATAAACCATATTGTAAAACAAACAGTGCCAATATACACTGTCAGCCCAGTTAAAGTGTCCATATTCCTTTTAGGAGCAAGAATGTCAACAGTAGAGAATTGTACAGGTGGAATCAGAGAACGCAGAAAAATGCATGCCCAGCTACATAAAAAGCATTTTCCATATGTTGCTCAAATTAAGAGAAATCTAGGTGACAGAAGAAATGGTAGGAGAGAGATTTCGGATTGATACTTACTTGGGCCTTTTGGGAAGATCAGTTTATAAGCAAATTTTACTATATTCTCAAGCAGACTGAATACTACCTCAAATCTGGATACCTGCAGAAAAGCAAGCAGTCAACTCCACAATTTTCACTCTCACAGTAAGACCATAACCCAAAAGGCCCAAGCTCAGAAAATAACATCCCACTATCCCTCTTTTCACACCACAGATAAAAATTCCAGTAACAAAGATATGGCAAATTGACCTATAATGCCAGTCAGAACAGAGACGGCAGATTTAACGGGGTTTGAGTTCAGCTATTCCACAGAGTAGCTAAACAATCTTAGATTAAGAGGGGTCCCTGAATAAAAGAAGTTAAAGTGTCTCTGCTGTGCTGTCAAGTTTCAATCACAAGTCTCTTGGTCACACATTTTTATATATTAGGCGACTAAAGATACAAGCATGGACCAAATTCCCATTGCTCATTTTAAGGCAGATACGCACTATGCAATGTGAAATGCGAGTATCTTTTACACGCTTTCAGATGCCTAAATACTTTCAAAAATTTTTGTTCAGTTCTTGCACTGGCCCCATTCCTATTTCCCATTTCTAAGGCCAGAATTTCCTGAAGAGATAGATATTAATAATGTGAAAATTTTGTCATCTTTCAGTAATGGGAGTCATCTGAGGGGAGAAGTTAGATGACAGGCAGATAACAGAGGTGAGGTCTAGGATCAATGAAATGTAATAGCATACACGAAAGTGAAGATGTTGATCTTGGTAGACAAATGGAGGGGGATATCCAGAGATCACTTCATCTTTAGACAGTGGAAAGTGTACCACTGGAGAGTTACTACTTGGTTTGTCAGTCACAGGCAGTCACTAAAAGCTTGAACTTTAGGTTCAGAAACACCTAACAGTCACAAAGCTATGAACATTGTTTTTCAAGGATGCTTGAAATGAATGATCAAAATGCTCAGTAGGACTCTTCGGCTGATCTCTGGAAGAAGCACATCCTTACATAGACCCCAACTATCCTACAGTGACCACTTCTGTCACTACTGTAGTTGGAAAGCCTTGACTGTGATTTTAAGTGCTGACCCAGCAATGAAATAATAAAAAAACCCCAACAACTCTAACTATGAGACATGCGTGTCACTAGGAAATTAAATATTGATGGCCCAATTCTATGTTTGGTGCCTCAAAAATCTGAGAAGTCTTACAGTTAGGGCATGAAAATCTGAGAGTATGATTAAAAACTGTAACCAGTTAGAGAATAGCCATGTTTATGGTTAAAGATAACAGAGAATCAGGGTCTCTGATTTCTAAAGAGAGAAAAAATTGGAATAGTCAATACCTGATACTAATGAAATAATCCTGGGATGAAAAGAACCCAGTCAGGATCTTTGGTTGTGAGACAGGAATCAACCAACACCTTTAAGAGGCATGAAAGGATTCCTACCCAGCTGATTTGCAAAAGCTTGCAGGAAAAAAACAAGTTCTTCCCTTCTCTTGCCTTAGACCTAGCAAATCTTCTGTAAGTGGATATTTTCTATTGAGGTCTGCAATATGAATTCCACATTTTGCACTTTGTTTGTTTGTTTGTTTGTTTGTTTTTTGGGGGGGTGTTGTTTGAGGTTTTTTTGGTATATTCTGACTTTCTTCATTGTAATTATCTAAAGAGCTAGGAACACCATAGCTTGTTTTACTTTCAGTGGAATATATGGCCATGTGAGAGTCTAAACCACAAAAATTTAATGAAGGGCAAGGAGGGATATTTCTTCTTCCTAGCAAATCAGCAAGAACCTGCTCTCTGTGAGACTTTAATCTTCCACAACTTTGAGCTTCTTCAGACCTCCTGTAGACAATGGAAGCAATCAAGAAATGAAAGCATAAGGGGAAGATGACTCCAGAACCCAGGGAAGACAGTAATCACTAGAAAAATCTCAGGAAAGGAAATAAGAACAGCAAAAATCCTCACCTCTAGAGTATGAATTTTGTTTAGAAACTGTCTAACAGAGGGATAAAGATCAGGTCTGTGTTGGAATATCATACACTGGGAAAAGATCGAGAAAAGACAGTAAGAGATGAGGGAACCTCTTTGAGACCAATAAGGGGTTTTCACCATTTTTTTTGTCTGAGACCTCTCTAATCCTTTAACCTTCAGCATCAGCATCAATGCTTGAGGCTGAGCTCTCCAGAATTGTATGTGTTCTCACTGCTTCAAGCAACTTAAACCATAAAAGACTAGAGACATGGACCCCTTAAGAGTAGCATGGGGGCAGAGCAAGAACACTGGAAGCAATGGGAGAAAAGAAGCAGTATCTAAATAGGAGAGAAAAAGAAAGAAGCAAAAACCCTGAGAAGCACCTGGAAGCTTTCACAGCCTCCAACCTGAAGGAGGGCATAATGCCACATGTCTATTAACAACACCAACAAACCAGTCCCTCAGCGCTGCCACAGCAGTGTCTGTACTTACAGATGCAATGCAGTGACAGTACACAGCACAGCCATGTTTAGTCTGTCTGGGACCCAGAGAACTTGAGAGAAAAATGAAATATTTGAAAAAACTCTACATTTATATTCATTACAAGCAAATTCTCTTATCTTCTGCACTATGAATAAGGCTGTAGACAGGTTCTTAAAGGTGAAAAAGGCAACTTGTAGCACAATCTCCAAACTGTCAGATTCATTGCTGATAAAATATTATTTTTGCCACTTCAAACTTTATTCCTAAATGGCTATATTAAAAATAAAATAATTACAAAATATAATATTGCAAGTCAGAAACTATTTTTCCACAGTTTCCTATCCAAAATAGACTTAAATTAACAGAGAAGTTATTACTAGTACTCAAAGACCACATAATGCTTTTTAGAATATTAGGTTACACATAGCCTTAACTCAGGAAAGCACTTAAAAAGGGAAAAAAGAAAGTCTTCCTGACTCAGGGCCTCTAAAGCAGAGGTATAACATATCATATATCTACTATTTGGGCATACAGTAAAGATTTGACTGGTTTGTTTCACAAATTCTTGAACTCCACAGAAAGTCTTATTCCAGCATATATTAAAAATAAGCCAGTTCAAATGAAAGTGCAATTCTTCTTTAAAAGTCAAGTTGTCTCTACTTTCATATATCATTCTTGTAGCAAAACAGTCACAAGTTGAAACAGAAACATGATGACAATACTCCATACTTTTTGGTAATTCAGTAAGTTCACAGAAAATACTAGCACTCACCAAAAATAATATTCTGGTTCATATAGCGATTAAAATGCTCTATCGATTCTGAAATGCTTCTGACATTTCTCATTATGAAATACACAGGCAGAGCAGCAGCTCTGCAATTTAAAATACCCTCATTCATTTCTAAAAGCTAAGAATTCAATGCTAATACCACTGATGTTTTAACATCAATATTATTTGCTAGTACATGTAACTCATGAATAAAGCATTATAAAACAGACAACTCAAGTGCTTTCTGGATTTGGTTAGTTAACCAAAAATTCTGAGATTCAAATGTTGTTCTAGGTCATGGCCCTTCTCAGGACTGTATTTTTTCCCCTCAGGATTTCTTTAAAACTGCATCCAATCAAATTATAAAAAAACCATGCAATGAAGCATCTGACACTTCCCCTGGGAGACCTTTCCATTGCAAACAAGTTGTTTTTCCTCAAGTTGAATTTTAATGTAATTTCATCCCATTGCCCATTCTCATGGAAGCAAGGCGAGAGTCCCCAGGGAAGGCAACAAGGAAAAAAACCCCAAACAATTGTTAAACTACACTGCAAAAGCATATAAAAGCAATTTAGCTATGAAGTGTGTTGATGAAAGGGGAACCGAGGATTAACTGAAGTCACAGAAGCAGCCTCCCAGCTTTCTATTTTCCATCAGCATGGAAGAGTCACAGATGTATGTGGATGGCTTCTAAGAAAAAATCAGTATGAAAAAAAGCTTATCATTCCATAAATACACCTTTGGGAAAAGAACTGAAGTTGCCTTAGAATTGTTTAACTTCTGCTTCCCAGAGTAGGAAAAAGAGCTCTTTGAAAGTTATTATTACAGTCTTGAAAAGGTATCAGCCATGATATCTTCCCACTTCTTCTCATAAACAAATGAAACTACCATACTACACGGCACCACCGTTGTTTAACAGAAACATTGTACCATCTACTACCCTGTCCCTGAAAACATCCAAAGAAAGATGTTGCCAAGGGAGTTATCATAAAATATCTGATTTAGTCTATAAGGATTTTTATTCCCTCACAATTTAATAAATAGTATCTTGCTGTTTAACATATCCTACAGTTAAAGAATATATTTACTTTTTTTTTTATTATTATTCCTTCACCTTCTCCACTGCTAGCAGGAATTGGTGAAAAAACAGTTTAGAGAATTAGTGCAGGATGTGTATGCAGACAGCTATTTTGAAAACATTATAAATACAAAACATTATAAACAAAAAACTCCTGGAAGATATCATACAAAACAAGACAAGAGTCATCACTAGGGTCAGCCACAGAAGCAAACATTTGTCATCTAAATCAGATAAATGTTTTGTAATGTAAAAATCCAAATCAGTATTTAACGAAAAATAATAGATACCCTCCAGGAAATATCTAGTCCCCACTGCTGTCAACATAGAGACTCCTAAGAAACATCAGAGGGAAGTGGATATGAACTTAATCTCTGTCCTTCAGAATCTCAGAATAAAAAAAAAAAAAAAAGGGCATGGCGATAGCCAGCAACAGCTATACACTAAAGGACCAATTCATTTGGAAAAGAAAACATAAACTTGGTTAAACAAGAAAAGGAAGACTAAACAAGCTTGAAGAGATTTCATGAGCCCTCATCAGCAACTTCCTTTCGGCGCTGGGCCCGGAAATGACGCTCAATGTTTATTGTCACTTCTCTCTGCAAATTTCTGCTGTTAGTTTTTCCAGCTGTTCTGATCCAAGGGTGCTGAAGTACTTGTCGTGCTGTGTAGCGCTTATGGGGATCCACTATCAACAGCCTGGTTATGAGGTCTTTTGCTGCTATTATAAAAGAAAGAAAAGGAGAAAAGGATAAAGGGGAAAAGAACAGTGACATGATGCTGCTGACAGTTATACCTACATAAAATGCCCTTCTTATTTTTTCTTATTAGTTTTACCATAATGACTTTTGTGACAATCCCCAGGAGATATTCTAACAACTGGATTTAGAACTAGTGATAGGAGATGTTAAATCTCCAAGCATATCTTTTACTGATACCATTCTCCCATTCAGAAAGAGAGAAGAAAGTGAAGGGAATTTTATCTTGAAAGCAGGCTGAAGGCATCAGGCTAGGTGTTCAGTTTCACAGGAATTAACATTGGGTATCTCATCCCTCAAGGAGTATGTTGTTGAGCATGTTCTTTAAAAGATGGTATAAAGGAGAGAGAGGTTTTAGGATTTCTGATTTTGAAGAGTGCACAAAAGACACTGTACTAATCTGTGAGAAGGAAAAAATTACCCAGTGCAGAACCCATCTGTGTTCTGCAGAGCAAGGATTTCTTTCTCAGCTTTTGAGATTTCTGCATACATCTTTACCACCTAACATAACCCTGGAGATTATTTTGGTACCTTTTTCTACAGAGGCAATTCATATAAGCAAGGTAAAGAAAACCTTGCTCTTCCCTCAGAAAGGAAACAACCAATTAAATCAATCAAACCTAATAGGCAGATTCACAGCCATTGATGCTACCAGAGGACCAAATTCACATTGAAAGAAAACACAGGATCAGAGAAAAGAAATCTTAAGTTCATTGAGCTTGCTGTCCCAAACAAAATAGAATTCCTCTCACTCCAGGGAAGAAGTCTGTCACTTCTCAGATCTGCCACATATACTGAATCTTACCTGCAGAAATATTATCCCAATATGGAGAAAGGAATTCATAGTGACCCAGCTGTATGATCTGAAACAGTTCTTCCTGATCACGTTCCTGACTGCGAAAAGGGGGAAAACCGCAGAGCAGAATATAAAGGATCACACCGGCTGCCCACATATCTACTTCGAGCCCATAGCCTAAGGAAGAAAAGACAAACCAACAGTCCTGTTTTAGAAAGAAAACTCACAACTGGTAAGGAACTTTTGGGGTTTTTTTCATTCTATTTTCCAAGAAACACAGAAGCTCTGCTCAGTTTCTCAAAAAGTTGAGGTCAGCAAAAGAATACGTGTCTGGTACACCACACTTAGAAGCTGAGCTGCTCTGCCTGTTAATAACTACAGCTCTCACAAAGTGCCTCTCTTCTTCGACATGTTTCTAAAATACTGTCTCACAAGGCCAGCGTCAATTGGAGACTAATTGAGAAAACACAGCATATATTTCTAAAATAGCTCTCCTCAGATTCCCTTCAAAAAATCACTAAGAGAGTGCCAAGTTTCCATTGAAATTGGAAATAACTGGAGATGTGCAACCCAGCTCCACAGAACAAAAACCAGAAATAGCTTTGCTTGAGTCATCAACAGAACTGACTCCTTTCCAGGTCTGAATCTTTTTGGATGTGAAATCTCTAAAATTTCTTCTGATGCAAAACATGTTTTGGCTTGTTATGTAAGTTTAATGCACATGTTTACAATGTTTTTGCATTGTTAGGGGCCTTGGAAAGTTGTTTGAGTTACAGTCATGAAATGGGGCTGACTACCCTCAGGTTGTCACATGAACTTTTGCTCATTTCCCCACTTTGTTACCATCTATGATATTTTATGGCTTGTCTGCTTGGAAATCAGTGTTCTATTACCATAGACATTAATAATGCAGACATGATGGATGTCATGCTTGTGTTTGTCAAAATCTTAAAGGTTTCCTTTCCTTTCACAGATTGCACTGCTAGCCAACCTCCTACCCTGCAAAGACATCAGTAGGTTGAAACATTCTGGAATATTTCCATGATTAGAAAGTTCAGGGTAATTGTATGATTTATGACAAATTATAAGTATATACACTCACCCTTCTCAGCAAGTATTTCAGGGGCAACATACGTTGGTGTTCCACACACAGTAAATATGGGCTTCGTAACCTGCTTTGCAAGGCCAAAATCTGCTAGTTTCAGTGTAGTAGATTTATCTGCATTATGCTGAACCTATACTCAATGAAAAATAAATATATTTAATCCTGATGCATTTTAAAAGAGCAAAACATAAAGGAAGTAGTTAACAATAAACAGGAAAAAGCTCTAAAAAAAGTGCCTTCAAGTAAAGCAACATCAAATGGAAACAGCATTTTGATAAACAGTATTCAGAAAGTGTTTTTTTCCCCCCATATACTAAGAGAGTGCAGATATTTAAGAGGACAAGCAATAACAGAAAAAGAAAACTTTGTTGTACAAACTCTGGTACACTGTACTTTCCAAGAAATGAAAAGAAGGAAGAAAAAAATAACCAAGAGTCAATGAAATATTATTTCCTCTTGGCAAAGTAAACTCTCCTTTTCCCCTAGGAAAGCAAAGAATGCTAATGCTGTGGGTGCCTTTATGCTTAAATGCAATATTCCCAGATAAACTACTGACTTTACAGCATTACTTGAAAAGCACATCTCCATCATACTGGCTTAATAAAAAACCCAACCAACCAACCAACAGCTTTACTTCCTTTGCAAATTGCTTTGCTACTCTACCTGTTGCCCTGAAAATAAATGAGTCACAGTCATAACATAGTAAGAGTTGGAGAAACGGATCCATGCAGAATGTCTTCCTAAATGGGTCTTTTCAGCAGTTCTCATCTCCTACATCCACCTGGCAAAGGATTAAATCACTTCTTCCTATTCTAATTTTGTAAGCATGGGTCTACATTTGTTATGAATTAGTTAATGAAACATTAAGAAACAAAATACGTCAATGCCATAGACAGCGGGATCAAGTGCACCCTCAGCAAGTTTGCAGACAACACCATGCTGAGTGGTGCAGTTGACACACCTGAGGGATGGGATGTCATCCAGAGGGACCTGGATAATCTCTAGAAGTGGGCCCATGTGAACCTTCTGAGGTTCAACTGGGCAATCCCCAGTACCAATACAGACTGGGAAATGAAGAGATTGAGAGCAGCCCTCAGGAGAAAGACCTGGGGATACTAGTGGACAAAAAATTGGACATGACCTGACAATGTGTACTTCTAACCCAGAAATCCAACCATATCCTGGGCTGCATAAAAAGAAGTGTGGTCAGAAGCTCAAAGGAGATGATTCTGCCCCTCTGCTCTGCTCTGCTCTCATGACACCCCACCTGCAGTACTGCGTCCAGCTCTGGGATCATCAGTTCAGGAAACACATGGGCCTGTTGGAGCAGATCCAGAGGAGAAACACAAAAAATGAGCAGAGGGATGGAACACCTCTTCTACGAGAAAAGGCTGAGCTAGTAGAGGTTGTTCAGCTGGGGAGACTTTCACTGCAGCCTTTCAATGCTTAAAGGGACAGGCTTTTTAGTAGGGCCTGTACCAATAAGACAAGGGATAATGGTTTTAAACTGAAGGAGGTAGATTCAGACTAGATACAAGGAAGAAATTTTTTATGATGAGGCTTGTGAAACACTGGAACAGCTTTCTTTCCCAGAGAGGTGGTTGGTGCCCCATCCCTGGAAACATTCAAGGCCAGGTTGGATGGGGCTCTGAATAACCTGATCGAGTTAAAGATGTCCCTGTTCATTTCAAGGGGGGTTGGACTAGATGATGCTTAAAAATCCTTTCCAACCCAAGTTAGTGTATGATTCATTTTTCAAAGGCTAAATCGTGAAGAATGTAGTATTCTTAATACAGGTGACTGATACTCAAATATTCTTTAAAAGGTAAAAAAATGTCATGAATTTGCTTTAGATTAAATGGTCTGTCTCTGGAACTATGGGGAACACACTGGCAGCTAAAATGTCTACAAGAATGCCAAGGAAATCTGGACTCCAGTTTTCAATGGACAAACTGTAGTATAATGGGACAGGTATCCTCCATCTTTAACACCTCATGCTTTGCCATCAGACAGTGCTTAAGAAAGCCAAATTTAAGATGGTCTTTCTTACAAGACAACCAAGGGCACAGAGGAGACAAAATTTGCTCTCTTACATTTCAGCTGACTAATCCCTGTTTACAATCATTATAGAAACTATAAGCACTCACACAATTTTGATTAAGCAAAAAGGTTTTGATTATTTTATTTTTTTAAGAAAAAAATGAATTTCAAAATAATACATTATAACCTACTAATCCATTTTTATCTTCTTATAGAAAATATAAGCACTTGTCTAACTTTAAGTAATACATTTTGGGGTTTTTTTTGTTTTTCTAAGAAAAAATATTTTAGTATGAAACTGAAAATAAAGTTTACAACAACCATGTAGTCATAACTTCTGCAGAAGAAAGCTGAAATGCCTTAGCTATTTTCTCTTATTACATTAATCAACCTCATGATGATTTTTTGCCATGATGCACTGTGGACACAGCTGACGAAACTGAAAAATAAATTACAATGGTAACACATTCTAGAGCTGCATCTATTCACAGGAATTATATTCTAACAATAGAAGTAATAGTGGTAGAAGGCCACAAAAACTCACAACTGAAATATTCAATTTTATACGTACTATGAAAATATGAGCAGGAGCTTTTAAAATCATATAAGAAACTTATGTCATGCAGAATTTCAACTAATATCTTGCATGCTACTGTACTAAGACAATAATACTGAACTGTCTATATAAATTTTTAGAAACCAGCAGGGGGGTGGGGAGGGTGGAGAACACACCGGTCTTAATCCCAATCCCAAAATCAGCAGGAAATGTATTGCTTTGTAAAATAAACTGTTGCACATTTTCTTTTATCAGGACACCAGACTCCTAATCTCTCATCGCAGCACAAGGTGGCAACACTGCACCATCTGTTCTTCCAGGACAAAACCACTGAGCTTTTATTTTACTTAACAATGGAACAGGTAGGAACAGCATGCACCATGTGTATATTTTGACAGCTTTGTGACAGTCATTTCAAAGACAGCATGTAACCTGTCAGCATGCATGAACACCTCAGCATCTTCACTGGCACTATGCTCAGAACAAATCAAAGTCAGCTCGGGCAGAGTGAGCATTCCCTTCATCACCAAATTTGTACTCTCCAGTCTACCTTCCGTCACCTGGTACGACCTGGAGCATGCAAATATGCTTCACTCTAAAAACAAAAGCTTCTCAGGTTGCTTTTATTCCTTCCTGAGGCCAGACTACTCAGCAGTATCACAGAAACATATAACCTGTACAAGAGAAACCTAGCCTCTGACATCTACAGTATGTCCTCTGTGAAATGGTGAGAACAAAGCAAAAATGGTTACGTTAAATTAATATATTAATATTACTGTGACACCTAAGAGACAGCTATTACTGTTTCTGCATTTAAGACTACAAAGAGTGGTTCCAAAAGTCCATTTAAAAGTGTTGCCTTGTCTTACCTGCCTATAGAGACGAGATATGGAAGACCAATATTCAGTACGTTTTCTATAGACGGACATTTTAGGCCATACAACTACTTTGGTAGTTCAACTGCAAGGGAAGCCAGTATCTAGTAGTCTTCAACTGAAGATAGTCAGAATTGCTCACTACTCTCAAATACAGATGCCATAGCAGGGTATTAGAATACTATCTGGAGATTTCTAGGTATCCCAGCCATACATCCAGAAGATAATAATACACAAATACAAAGCCAAGTTCATCTTCAAAGAAGGGAGAAATTGATCTTTTCCTTTTCTCCTGTCTGTTGATGACTCCCAGAACTTCATGCTCTTGTTTGTTTACACATCTATTCATAACTACCTTGTGAAATCCATCAGTGTGTTTAAGATGATGATTTATAGCATTAATATTTCTCTGTATGCTATTATATATATGGCAGCAAACACTTTTCTTATAGACATCATGAAAGCAAGCTAGCCCATGGGACGTTTTGTATGTTAGAAATAGATAGATCTAAAGAAAAAATACTGCTTACATGTTTGAGTTTCAGACAACCCTTGCTGCTAGCTAGAAGAATCTCTATGAAAAGTCTTACAGAAAATTCCCTGTCTAGGTTTATCGTACTGAAAGCTCTATAGACAACTAATTGGTGAAATAGGATTTTAGCTCAAATGCACTCCAAAATCTCTGACAGTGCTTTGTGTATATGTAAATAGTGTCATAAAAGGAAAGTTAAAGGACAGAAAGGCTATACTTGAAATTCTCATATATATGAAAACTTGAGAAAGAGGGCAGGAAAAAAGCTCAAACACATAAGCAGCTATAACACTTCTCTTATTTATGAAGCTGAATGCTAAATAATTACCCTGTTAGTATGTTTGGGAAGCATATGAGAAGATGAGTATAGAATCAGAAACACAACCCTCCCTCTTCCTTCCCCCTAAAAGAGAGCAAGGAGGTCACTTTGTGTCTTTTACAGCTATAACCTGGAAAAACACCGTCTACACTTTGAAATTAATTTCTCACTCACAAGTCAAGAAATGCCAGCACCTGTAGAATTAATCAGTCCCTTAGCCAAAAACCTTGCCAGGCAATTCTGCTGGTAGCATTAAAGAAGTGACTGGCTTATTTTGTGGGACCAAACACACCATATTGCTCATCCTTGGTAGCAAAGGTTTTCTTGCTGAACACCTAGTCCTAAATGAGGTGATTCTGTTAGCAGATGGGAGGGAGTCAGAGCAGCTGTCTTCACACCAGCTGTCAAGCAGATTTTGTTTCTGTAGCGCAAGTCACCACCCTTCTGCCTCACAGCTATGCTGCAAGGAGTCTGATCATTGTGGGCACACACAGTAGTGAAAGAGGGAGGGGGAAACAGAAAAGGATGGTAGTGAACTGTTATAGAAGATTATAACTAGAGGACAGTTCCATAAGAGGAACAGTTGTGCAGTGAACTAATAATTAAACTAGGTTTCCTACTCTGTCCTGTGTCAATGATTTTAAACTATACTAGACATCAAAGTGTATTTCCACCTTTTCCTCTGTAAGGACAGAAACAGCTTTCCTTCTTTCCCCAGCTGCTTATTTTTGTGAAACATATGGAAATTTTTTTTTTCCCCCAGTTTGCTGCTTCTCTGTCAACTCTGATGGAAATTAGCCAGTACATTCAAAAGTCATTAGATTCTCACACAAAGCAGGTTTACAGTAAATAAACGTATTTCCTTTGTAAAACAGACCGAGGATCTTTTCTCTTCCATCTCCCATTTGCTGAAAAGGGTTAGAGAAAAAACTCTTGACAAGAAAAAGAAAGGACAAGATTCACCTGACCAAAGGAAGACCCCAAGGTAGGACAAACAAGTCAACACCTAAAAGTACATACCTATTTCTGTCCTCTGTGTACAAAGTCTAGGGAGACTAAATCAGACTTAAACACCTGCTGTGCAGGAATCTGAAGTGAAGCAAGATGTATCCCACAGCCAGGATGCCAGCACTATGCTTCCTCTCCTGAAGGATTCCCCCAGCCCCTGACCCACCAACAGGAAGATGAACCCATGAAATTAGCTTCAATCCTGTTTGTTATTGTTCAGCACTGACTGATGTTAAGAGGAGTGGTTAGCTCTCCTTCCTGCTCTGCTGCTACTGCTCCAGTCACTCTGAGGAGACAGACTCAGCACATTAAAAAGTTAGAAAAGTCAGAATCTTGCTTAAATGGCCTGTATTTATAGGGTTGTTTATTAGATAGCACATGAGCTATCCAGCGCTATCAAGTGCTTATAAACTCATCTGGTTTGTTGAACAGACTTAACTTTTCAACAGGATGCTTTACGTAAACAATATCTAATACAGGTGTTCACAGCCAATTAGCAGCAAGGTGAAAACGGAACAGGTACAATCTGCTTTCCCTTAGGGTTTGGGTAACACTGATCTCATATGACAAAATACCTACAAGCTGGGGGCCAGTCTGTCCTTGAAAAATATTTTCTGTCAGAATGGGCAACATGATTATTTCAGTGCTACACAACTATGTCACTGCCCGGCAATCTCTGGGCATTTTTCAGTGCTGTGAACTAAATGTGGAAACAACCTGAACAGACCTGTATCTTGCCTCTCTTTACTTACCTGCATCACTGTGATGATTACATATTATAGAGGGAAATGAAACATCTGGTCTCAGGTGTTTCACACGCACTAGCTTATTTTCAACAAATAAGAAGGAGTGGAGGCTGGGTCATAACTGAAAACCAGCTTCTGGAAAACGCTCTGCAGTTCTAAGTGGAGCTTTGTTCTAATGGCAAAACAAAGCATGAAGGCAGGGCCTACAAGCCTACTTCTTGCAAACAAGCCACTTGCACTCACCGTCATTTATTTACACACAAGTGTTTTCATCGAACTGAGCAGGATACATAGCAAGACCCAGTATAGATGTTATTGGTTAGTCAAAAGGTTTGGGAGCAAACTGTTCAGGCCCAGCCTTGTTCAACCTCTGCAACAGGCTACACCTGATGCTTTTCTCCAGAAATACACACTGATTTCTTCCCAAAATTAATTCCCTTAAAGAACTGAATGGCACATAGGACTAAATCATCTACTACCTTTTTTTTCTCGCTATGATCTTCCACCAGCAGATCAAATCTGATTTGTTAGAGACTGGCAAATATTTGGTATCTCTCTATTAGGAAATGTGGAACCCTAGTACAAGACAATTAGCAAGGGAAAGTTGCTTACTGTTACTGTTCTACAATGGGTGTCTTGTCAAGTGTCAATACTGTAAACATTTCTATGCACATTCACACATGTGAGTAACTCTGTTGACTTCCGTGCTGGATGCAAAGAATGTAGCCTCAGAAATGTGATGGAAAAAAGAACTATTCTCTTTGGCATGAAGTTAGTATTTGAGCTGACTTTAGAGCTGTGTTTCACCGAAACACTCATATTTTGCTGTCAGATTATTTCAAACAACTGCATCATACTTCTGCTCCTAAGAAAATAAATTGTCACAAGACAGCAATCACTACAGTAGAGGACTAGCACAGCAGTCTGCAGGATGTGTGACTGCAGTAGACAAGAAGTCCACTAAATAAATAAGATAAATTAGCAATTTTAATAAATTTTGGTCTGCAGGAGATGCTTTATGATTCAGTTCATTCTTTTGGAAAAAAAAAAAAAATCATTCTTGCATACCTAAAAGTCAGATGCTAAGTAACAGACCTGTTTTCCAGAAAACATACAAATGCTCACTACCCCTGAAAGACAGGTCATTTTTGTCTGAATTTCTACCTGCAAGCACTGCTATCTGCAATGCACAGCAGATCTACGTGAAGTAAACTCTAATGGTAATTTCACTTGTAAAATTGTACCCATTTTTCCAAACAGTCCTGCCACAGTGCAATATCTCTGCATAGTATTTGCTTAAAAATATTCAAGGATCAATAACTAAAAGGAAAATAAACTCAACTCCTGCACATGTGCAATGTGTTTGCCCATACTTACCAAAAGATTCTCTGGTTTGAGGTCCCTGTGGACGATGTTCTTGCTGTGAATATAAACCAGTGCTTCACACAGGTCAGTGATCATGACAGCAGCATCATGCTCTGTGAACTTCACACTTTCTATGATTGCATCAAATAAGTCCCCTCCTGGGACATACTCTAGGATAAGGTAGATCTCAGCTTCTGTCTCATACACTTCAATTAAGCTTACTATATTGGGATGAGAGAGACTCCTGATGATCAGAATTTCACTTTCCATCATGTCCTCTTTCCCCTTCAGCTTGGATTTATCAACAATTTTCATGGCATAGATCTGATTGGTATCACAGTGGCGACATTCCTTCACCACTGCAAAGTTCCCATCCCCAATAGTTCTGCCAATCTCATAGTGTTTTTCCACATCGGTCCTGTTTTTAATGGCATACCTACGACTTGTGTTTTCCAATCCCTGAGCCTTGTTTTCTTCTTTATTCACTCTGCGGTCCCCTGTTTTTTCTCGTCGTGTCATGTCACTCTCTCTACATGTGATATTCCCCTCTCTTCTGGCACTCTCTTCTTTAGACCTTTGCCCCTCTCTGCCCTCCCTATGTGTTTTAGATGGTTTCTCAGCATCCCTTGGAGTGTCCTTCTTTAGCCAACCACTTTGGTTCATTACACAGCTACTTCCATTCTCTTCCTTTGCTTCATGAGTCAGCTGCAGCCCCTCTACAGCATTCTTCTTGATTTTTATTACTTCCTTCCCATGGTTTTCATGTTTCTCCACATCCCTTTCCTTCTCAATGCTCCTTTTATGCTTCTCCAGCCCTTCATTAACATTCCTGTGTAGGGGCTTCCACGTCCTCCTACAGCCACTATCTTTCCAACCAACTTCCTCGCCTTCCAGACAAGTTTCTGAGGATTTTCGGCAATTCCTGATTTTTGCATTTCTTTCTACATGGTACCTCTGACATGCGCCTGAGTTCAGATCTCTGTTCTCAAATGAGGCCTCAGCCTGCCTTTCCCTTTGTAACTTTTGCCTGGCCTGCCTTTCCTGTTCACACTTCTCACACCTCACCACCTCCTCTGAACTCTCTTCTAATCCATCCTCAGAACTCCTCTCATGGTTAAGGTATCTCTCGCTTTCTCGGGTTTTTCTAGAAGTCTTCACTCCTTGCTCGCTACCCCAGCTCTCTCTAGTCCACTTTTTTTTGGTTCTCATTTTTTCCTCATGCTTTGTTTTGGCTTGACTTTTTCCTTCATGTCCAGCTACCAGTTTGGGAGACATGCTATTGCTGCAGTTCTTGGTAATTTCGGTCTCATCAAAGCCACTGTCCACTTTTGAAGCCTTGTCATACAGCCTGCTCTTCAGTTTTTGGGACTGCTCCTCATTCTGCTGAATGGCAGCACTGGCAGCATAAGGATTTTCAGGATAAAGTTCTTGTAACACCACTTCCAGGTTCTTCAAAGTGAGGGGCTCCCTGCCCATAGCTATGAATGCATCACCTTCCCTGAAGAAGTCAGAAACACTTCGGATTTCTCTCCCTCTCAGATTATAAAGCTTTCTCACACGGTCATTCTTCCAGCGTGGAAATCCCAGAGCTTCCGAAATGTCAGCCATCAGCTGTTCAAAGGTCTGGACTGATCTCCTGTTGAGAAGCAATGTTATCCTTCTGAGTGTGCGCCCACCAGGTTTCACCACTGTAATAATCCTTGGCTTCACAGGACTGTGATCTGAATGTATTGTGTGAAAACCATTGCGGGGATTAAAAAATGGGGACCTATGACTGCTTTCACTCAAACATGGTTTTCCATAGTTTCCATGACCAATGGGAGGACAAGTCCCTTGTAGCTTCCTTTCTTTTACTTTTGAGCTTGAATTGTGTGATGAATGGTCAAACAATCCTCGGCATCCTAAGGCGAACAAAGAGCAGGCATATTATTAATTTTGCACCATCAGATCTTTCCAAGTAACAGTTTTTCTACATGTCAGCGTATGTAAGGGTAGGTCAATTCAATGCTTATAAAGAACTCTAACTGTCACTAAAGAAGTAACTTCACATACACGCAACTACAAACATTTTCAAGCTTGTGAGAAAATGTAAATACACTTTGTGACAGAGAAATGCTTTTTAAAAAGGAAAAACATTGGAAGCAAATAGATCCTTATTCTAAATTCTCCCATCTCCCAGAAAGTGTCAAAAAATGGGGTTACTTCTGCCAGGATTGCATCCAGATTGTTTAGCATTCTCTTATGTACCTGCCGTGAACTCACTCAATTCCTTTCTGAACCCAATTACAGTTTTGGCCTCTGTAAAGGCTGTGGCAATAAGTTCCACAATTACATTGTATAAAGTAAAAGAAACTAATTACTTCTGTTTCAAAATTGCTACCAGATGGCTATGGGTGCTCAACCTTATATTCTTATAATTACCTCCTCTTCACTTTCCCTGGACCGTTCATTTAGTTTCTAGACTTCTATAATAAATTAATGAGATTCTTTTTTAAAAGAATTACTTTTGCTGTAATTTTACAGCAATTTTATAGTACATTTAATAGTAATGTAGCGTAAATTTTTCCCTAACTGAAAGGCCATCTTAGTTTTGTTTGATAACTGGAGTTCTCGTTTTCCAGTATTTTGGTTTGACTTTTTAATTTCAAAAGTTATGTAAAAATCACACAAAGTTCTGAATATCCTCTAGGATAACAGTTAATTCGCTAGGATTAACAGTTTTTCCTCTGATACTTCATCTTAGAAGACCAACCAAAGAAAACAGCACCACCCATTACACGTAACTCTGAAAAGGAAGAACTGAAAAGATAACACATGGTTATGGACAAACCAACCTAGAACATAACTGACTGTTTATAAACACAGCAATAAGCTAAGTATAAAAAATATCCACTTATAATACTCTGATTTCTTGTACTTATTAAGATTAAAACTTGATTATAATGCAATTCTTTTCAGCCTCAAGAAATAAACTTTCAGAATGAGATCACAGAGTGCTTCCAACTCCATTTAACAGTCTTGCATTTCAATTGGGAACAAACGTTCAATATGTATAACAAGACCAAACCAAAAGAAAGCAACCAGAATGATTACTGAACCATTACAAGGAATTTCCCATATACAAATGGCTTATCTCCCAGAAAATCACAACCATTTTCATACGTTACTACAATGACATAGTCACAGTGCATGGGCAAATCCACAAAGGAAGATCTGCGCATATGAGCATTCCTCTTGGTGTCAGGGTTCACACACATGTGTTCAAGAGTTCTGGCAAGCTTAAGCCTACTACATTTTGGTTTTCAGCTGCTGAAAAGCCATTTTCAGTATTCCGAGCTATGTATTTTTATTTGTCCTTTTCATCAAGGCATAATAGAGTGAAGAGGAAATACGCCTCCTCACCTAGAACAACAAACAAAAGGGAAAACTACAACAACTGCTGCAGCACTGATTTGCTCTGCCTCAAAAATAGCACATTCAAAAGGCCAGGGTTTGAGTAGGGAAAGCACACGAGGAGGCACTACTGCAGACCTCTGCTCCACTGTTGGCATTGTTCGATGTACGATAACGGACACTGCTTAGTTGTTAATAGTCTCACCAGCTCAGTGCTGTGTGGCCCCCCGCATGCCCCTTAACTCTTGGCTTCATTTTCTTCCTCTGCCAAATGAGACAGATCCTTCTTCTCCAGATAAATATCACAAAGAAGCCCAGCTGCCAGCATGCTAGTTGAAGACGTAAGCATTATATAAGAGCTACGTGTGACTAATGCTTGGTGGTTGTACAAGTTATTTCTGTCTTCATTTTGCTTTTTAAGGATGATCTCTTGTTATCAAGAGATGACTACATATGTGCTAGTGATTTTTCAGCGATCAGATATTTACATTCTACCCAGAATAAAGCCTACTGTGAATGGGGAAAAAACAAAACAAAACATTCAGATGCAATAATAGTTCTCTGAAATCTAAATCAACTCCAGAACATGTTGGTTACCAGGAACTGCCGAAGCTCTGAATTTAATCAACATTTCCAGATTCTTTCGTACCCACTGTCATCAAAGCATTATCTTGTTTATGGGAACAGTGCATGACATTTTGCCTGTTTATAATCTTGGCACAACAAAAAAATGCTGCACTAATAATGACATTTCCCACAGATTATGTTTCTCCCAGCTATGCCACTATTATCACACCTTTCTATAAACCATTCATTTTGAGTGCCTGGCTGCACTGTTGATTGTTTCAATTACCCAAACATCAATTATGTTTCCTTTCTTCACTCAATCAGCTAAGCTTTAAGCAGGAACCAAGTTTCTTTTTTCATTCTATAACTAATGGAATAAGAGCAGTTTCGTGTAATTATTAAGAACAATCCAGGAATGTGTTTTTGTGCTTTTTAAACTGGCAATATTTTTTCTAAGATGAAAAGGGAAGTTACATGAATGCTTAAATCAATGCATAAAGGAATCTCCTAATGTTTTCTGAGAAAAAGGAAAGTGTCAAATTTTGTTAAAGTGGTGGTCACAATGACTATATATTACATAAAATAACAAATTAATTTCAATAGCCTGTTACAACTATTTCAGTCATAATTTCTGTTATTTTCCAGTTATGCTATATTTAACTGATACATATGAAACAAGCCTCAATCTGTCAGGAAAGTGCACACACTTAAAGCAGCATTTCGAGAAAGCCTTCAAAGGTCACACACGTACACAAATCCTATAGCTACAATTTTTATTGCCTCAAAATCTTGTTTCCATATTTATATACAAGTGGGAGAGGGAGGAAGAGGGAGGTGGGATCAGAAACATACTTCAATGAGTCTGAGTACTGGCAAATTATACATCAGAGAATAAAATGTGGTTTTTCTTTTACTGTCTTACTGAGAACTAATGATTATTAAAGATATATATTTCTTATAAATGTTAGTATGGATGGATGGATGCATGTATCTGTCTTCTTATCTGTATACACATTCATCTATATATGCCTTTGTATCATGAGTATCAATATATAGGATGATGCAAAAAGATTAAGAAAGCAGAAGACTGTAGGGGAGCAGCATGGCTGAGGCGGCTGCTGAGGACTGTTGCTGTGGAAGGGCAGGGGTAATGCAGCACAGCTGGTCAAGGGAACCATGCGTGCCACCTAAGCTGTGCACGTGGGCACAGAAGAAAGAAAACTGGGACTCGCAGAGTGATACAGAGCTCCAGATGATGAAGACATGGTGGTCTTGTAGGGTTAACAATCACACCAAGTCTCTAGAGAAGCAGGGAGGATGGAACAAACAAAAATTTGAGGACTCAAACACGTAGCAGGAACAAGAAATGTAGCACCTATTGATCAGAGCACAAGTGCTCCCTGGAGAAAAAATGCTTGCTGCAGGGAGCACAGCTTCTGTGGCTCATTTTTAAAAGCCATTTTGAAAACCATTTGTGATAGTCATAGTCAATCCCACTGAGCAGGGTGGGGGGAGGCATGGGGGGAAACTGCAAGAATTCCTCGTGAAGACCCTTCCTTGTAGGGTTTTGACTCATACTCTGGACCTGCAGTCAAATAAAGCGAATTCAGAAGACTTAAGCTCTGAATAAGGTGTGTATACAGAGCTTCTACCAATCTATACCTTAAGGAATTGCCTGGCTACACCCTCTACAATGGTAGAGTAATGGGGTTTGCCAGAGGTTACCTATTCTTGCAATTAAAAATGCACTGCTGCCATTTGTCCTTCAAAACTTATCTCTTCCCTTGACCCGTCTAAGTTTTTGTTCATTAATTTAAAAATTGCCACTCATCTTGCATTCCTTCTTGGTTCTCCTGCTTGAGATCACAGTTTCAGTAATTAAACGAATAGTTTACTCAGCAGCTAATTCTGCTACCAAGTCACAGGTTGAAGTGGAATTAAATTTTTACAAAGAGTTTTACAACACAATTTAAAACAGAAGACAACACTGAAAGAGAATCTAGCTATGGCATTGCTTTCTGTGAATAAAATGGTATTATTTAAGCCCTGCAATTTCTTTAGAGGGCCTTGGATTAATGTGAAAGCCTCCACTTTCCATGAAAACTCCCCAAAACATTAGCAGCATTAGTAAATGTTGTACATGACAGAAAATAAAAGTAAAGGTGTACATGACAGAAACTGTGTATCTAGGCATTATTTTAATATATTAGTCCAAATATAGCATAAACAAAATACTGTTTCAAACAGGATGGGAAAGAATATCACTAAAAATGTCTGTTTCTTCTTTAAGCCCCAGCAATTCCTGCTGAGGGCATGCAAAACAAAGACCATAGAAAAAAAAAATCCTATCTTAACTGGAACCCAGAACATTCCATTTATGTCAAAGCATCAAGTATCTTAAAGTACTTAAGGGTGAAGAATGCTCTAGCCTTTAACTCAGAGCAGCCAAGTACGGAGTTCACGCAGGTTACCAGTGTGCATCAGCAGTCAGCTCCAGGATGCAGTCTGAGTCCTCTAGAAGTATGTCATCCTGATCTCCTCTTCCTGCTGTTAATTATTAAATGTTGCAACTTTCAGGGCTAGGGCACATTGTTAGTGCCCAAGACTGAAGCAGTAGTGTGACAAGACTCAACGAACTAAATTAGTTATAGGGAAACAAAATATGATCACAGGCATCCTTTTACAGCAAATAAATTTTACATGGGCATTATTTACATTCCTACTGTTGGAAACACTACAGGTGAATTTTTCTCTAAAGACCCATAGCTGTAGCACCCTCTCTTTCTTCCCCTCCCTGCCACGCATTTTAGGGCGGCAATTTTGTTTGAGGCAGGACTGATGGTTATTTCAGCAGCAAGGAAAGGCAGTCCCACTGTGTCAGTTTTGATCACATAAAATGCTGAGTAGAAAGTCAAATTTCACAAGGACTGGATTGA